CAAGCCTGAGACTGCAGTATGGGGAGCAGAAAGATGACGTAAAATTGTCTGTATCTCTTGGTCTCCCAAGCCGAAAAGCACTTCAGAGCTGAGTGCTCTTATACACGCTATAGTAAGGACAGAGCGCTTGCAATGAGGTTGAGTGGCTCTGAGCCGTGTGAATCGAGTCTGGGAGCTTCAATTTAAAGCACTAATACCCTAACAGAGCTCCCACTAATAAAACAAAGCCCACTGACTTTGAGATGAGCAGAATGAGGCTTTTGTATCAGTGTAATACAAAACATGAATTGCTTGATGGGAGTGAAGACTCACTGATAGCATGGGAGCAATAAAGAGCTGATCCTACTTCCATTAACTTTATTGGGAGCAGCTCCAAAATATTTAAGTGGAGATTGGCATATCACATATATCTAATCTAAAGTATCTCAGGATTTACGTTATGGTATCAGCCCTGAGACAGACAGATGAAATATTACTCCTACTACATTTAATTTATAATCTTCATCTCACTAAACCTGCACCTACCTACTTACATGGACCCCATTACTAAAGTAGCTGAGTGGCTGCCAATTATTTAGACATATAAATAAAATAGCAGAGATTATTTTGTTCTCTGCCTCCCTACTTCTCCTGTAGTTTGTAAGATTTCCCACAACATTTGCCCTTGTTCTGTGTAAGGTTTCATGTGTAAGTGAGTGCAACTGGGAATCTCCAGGTTTGTTTGAAGCCTTTTGAGGAAAACAGGTATGTCACAAAGGAATGAACATTTATTTCTGAATATATTGAGATCATTGACTGTCTGAAAGCATAAAAGCAAATAATGGAGTCGAACTGTGAGAGAGCTGAGAGAATTTCATTGCATAAGCTCACAAAATTCTCCTGTTGGTTCACAGTCCAAATTGTTCCCATCAAATGTCATGGGAGGTCGTGTTGGTGGAAGGAGATGTGGTATCTCACGAAGCAAAGTCCAATACTCTGAATGGCTTTGACTATCAAGACAGAAACAGGACTTGTGGCTTCATTCCTAGATGTGATAAACTGCCACAGCAAAGCTTCAAAGCCAAACAGTGCAAAGGTGGCCAATCTGTGTCTCCTAGGGGTGGCTACATACTTTCAGCTGGTCAGTCACAGACAGAAAATTGATTACCAAGGACTGAGTAAAGATGTGCACTTACCTTTTTTATAACTACATCTCTCCAGCCCTCAGCATGCAGCACTGCAGTTACCAGCTCTTCAGAGAGGTGCTTTTAGAGAATGTGGCGGTGATCGGGGTTTAGAACAAGACAAGACATGCAGGACCAAACTACCATCTCTTTGGGATAAGTACTCAGCCCAGTCCTCACCCGTGGCAATCAGAGGCTGCATCTTGGAAGGGTTCAATACGGAGCAACAGTTGCTCTGAAACTGGCCCAAAAGGAGGAACACGAGATATTTCAAGATGTCTCCTTCAAAGCCTCTCTTCTATTTCTGGCTGCTGCTTGAACTCTGCCAATGGATAAACAGATAGCCCTGGACACTTTTCATAATTGTTTCTGGATATATCCTTCGTCAATCTTATTCTGAACAAAACTTCTTGAATAGCTCATTTAAGGAGAAAACACTTGAAAAGTATATTAGTAAACTCTTTCAGTGGGGTAAAACCATCAATATGGAAAATTCAAGTTTTCAAGAGAGCCATTAAGTGTGATTAAACCTTTAAAAAGGGAGAACAATGAATGCAGCCTTGTATTTAGCAATTTCATATCTTTAATTGTACAAAGATTTTCTTTAAAAGCACAAGCCTGAAAGGAAGTTGAATGTTACAGTATTTACTGAAGGAAGGCAATGAGAGAAGGCCTGTTCACTAGCTAATGGAGTGAAGCCCAGAAATAATGACAAAAAAGCGGTAACAACCGCTCTCCAACACAACATATATAAAAGAGGGAGCCATAAAAAGGCAACAATTCTTGACTTAGCTTTGAGTTTCACAATTACTGTGATTACAGATAGCAAGTGGAAGAGCATATAAGCCATGATGAAATCTGGTTGGCTTTGCAATTGAGATTCAAGTGAAAGAAAGCAAGAGGGACATTGAATTTCTGCAGCACAAATTTTGGATGGGGTATGAGAAATGGAAAGAAAGGAAGAAAGAGCAAGGCCATCAAAGAGTTCAGCAGAAAATGAATATATTCTCATCCATTCCGTCTAATAATAAACACAGCAGGGGCCAGATCCTCAGCTGAACTGAACTAGTAATGCCAGTGATTGAGCTAGTTTGCTGCTCCTATCATACAGTCAGACACATCCTGGCATAATGTAGCCTGTGCCATCTTGCATCAGCTTTCACATGCAGAGAAAACTTTGACTATCAGGAGCTTGAATAAAAATAAAAAAGGGGAGAGAGGCTAAAATCAAGTTGATTAAGGCTTACAATAATTATATTTATGAAACATTTAATGTTAATTATTAGTGTTACTTTAATAGAAAATATTTTGATACATTAATGACATGTTAATTATCAACTTTGTTTTTCTTGATCAATATTTTTAAAAAGTGGTGTTAACATCTGATCTGCGATAACATGCATGCTTGGCTTTCTTCATATATGTATTACTAAGATTATATGTGCATGTACTCCTCCATGACACAGATAGGGTACCTCAGTTACAGCCTTAGGTGCACTTTAAAGATTAGTGGGCACCTAGTGCTTTTCCTAAAGGTTTCCCTCTGTATATCTAAGAACATCTTGAAAGTGTAACTTTTATTCACTCATATATTTAGAAAAGTTTTTTTATACTCGTGATTCTAGAGAAATTAAAAAACGAAATAACAAAAACTCAACCAGCTCTGAACCTTAAAGGTACAAAGTCCAGAATACAGATGAATCTCAACCTTATGACTAGCAACAGGAGAGCCCCAGTCCAGCGTTGGTGGTTTCTGGGCAGGGGAAATGTCATACAGCACACCACAAACACATCATGCAGTGGGTGAGCAATTGCCTCACGGGTCAAGCACAAAGGGTAATAGTGAATGGAGTAACATCAGATCAGTGACCTGTCACTAGTGGGATTCCACAGGACTCCATCTTGGGCCCTGTGCTCTTCAGCATCTTCATAAGCAAATTGGATGAAGGACTGGAAGGGATATGAAGCAAGTTTGCAGATAACACAAAACTGGGAGGCTCTACAGAGAGACCTCAACAAATTAGAGGACCGGGCAATCACCTACCAAAAGAAAATACTGGATTCTGCACCTGGGATGGGGCAAGCCTGGATGCTTGTACAGGTTAGGGAATGAGATGCTGGAAAGCAGTGCTGAAAAAAGGAACCTGGGGGTCCTGGTTGATGGCAAGCTGAATATGAGTCAGCAGTGCCCTGGCAGCCAGGAGGGCCAACCCTGTCCTGAGGGGCATCAGGCAAAGCATCGCCAGCCAGTCGAGGGAGGTGATTGTCCTGCTCTGCTCTGCACTGAGGCAGCCTCACCTTGAATATTGTGGCAGTTTTGGGCACCACGATATAAGAAAGACATTAAATTATTAGAGAGTGTCCAGAGGAGGGCAGTGAAGATGGTGAAGGGCCTTGAGGGGAAGCCATATGAGGAGTGGCTGAGGTCCTGTGCAGGGCTAAGGATTGGACTCAATGATCCTTGTGGGTCCCTTCCAACTCAGCATATTCTGTGATTCTGTGATATATAAAGGTTGAGCAGAACCATGGTAGCTCTCTGAGGAGTTTGTCTACCGAGGAGTTTGTCTACCAAAGTTTATTGCACTTAGGAATTGTAAGCTTGTTTAAAGTCATGGTTACTTGCATGAGCAATGACGTAAGTAGTCAGTGAGGAATGGAGGGGTAATGTACAGGTGGCAGCATGTCAGTAGGCAGAAGGACAGTGAAAATGGATATGATTTCAAAGACTGCAAAAGCTAGTGAGACTCACTCTCAGTGAGGAGCTGGACTAGAGACTTCCCAAGAATCCTTCAATCAGCTTTTCAGTGCCTGTGGCATGATATCCCATCCCCAGTTAGGTGAGTGTTAGACAGACACCCACTCTTCGGGTTTGGCATCTATCCTCCCTAGTGAATATACACCTCTTCTTTGGTATTTCATTTACTTTTATGTTGTAACAAATAAATAGAAATGGTCTTGGAAAAATTGTCTTGGTCTTTTTGGCCCTGGTACTGAATTAGAGCAGGTGTCTGAAGCTGGAGGCTCCTTGCTTTGAGAAACGGCTCTGCCACTGAGACTTATTTAGTAAGTGGGCAGAGCAGTCAGAGGAGTCCATCATCCCTCCAGGTTTGATTATTGATTTTGGAGCACTTGTATTTTTAATTATGAAGATGGTTCAAGCTGCGATTGAGGACTCCTGGTAGCTCTGAAAACAACATCCAAATTTGAGATATAATTGTCATTGGATGCACTGAAAATAGTTGTAAAACAATGTACTGATACTTCCTGTAGTCCCACCAAATCTGGAAAATGTTGGCTGGAGACATCATTGCAAACCTCTTGCCTGACAAATGAAGAAGAGGGCAATGTCTGTAACTTAGATTTTGCAGTCTGCCATCAATGAAGTTGTATGAAAATCACTAGACTGGAAAGGGGTTTTGAGTGGGAAAGATGAATGAAAGAGCTCCCCATGGACTACGTACACTGAGGTTTTGCTAATGAAGAAGCAGTGCAAATGCAGAGTTCCACTGTCTAAAATAAAAGCAGACTAATCGTAATTTCTCTGTGACATAGACCTTAGCAATGGTAGTAACACGCATTTAAACAAGATGATATTTTGTAATAATAATAGAAAAATTACAACCATACAGAAATGAAATTATTCATTTATTTGTAAATGTTACATCCCTGACACTCCCAGGACTGTGGCACTTTTTTCCAATGGAACACTTAAGCAATTACTCCTTATGGATAAGGCAGGAGCATCTAGATATACAATAGTTTATGTATTAGTAAAGTTACTGTGATATAGTCTGTTTGCATCTACTACTGGTGACCAGAAGCCATTATTTCCAACAGATACAATGGCAACCAGAAACATTATGCTCACAATGCTGAAGAATGCAAATGCATTAGCTCATGACCTCCGAGGAAATGGTATGTGACACCGCTGTTCAAAAAGTTTTGAAACTGGTTTGCAATGTACTTATGCCTACTTGCTAATAGAAAATGACTCCTGTCATTCATTTTGCTTTGACCTGCAAGAAGAATGAATGACTCACATATATGATCTTTAAAAACATGTCCACATCAAAAAAAGGAGGGCTGGGAGTGAACAGGTTGCGGAGGCATAAGAGAAGTGAGCTATTGTGGGTGGGGAGTGAAATAAAAGCTTAGTCACATGGCGAAATAGCAAACAAGGCAGCAACCCTGTTGAAGAGATTTTTTGGTTCCTGAAGGGTCAAGAATGGTTAAACAAAGGTGTTTTCAGAAGTTTATCACCAGGCCTTCACTAGCCATTCACCAGCTGTGGTCCATCAGATCTTGTCCTTGTGCAGACCAGGGCTATCTGGCACCCTTAGGGAAAGTGTATTTGCGTAATCTACCCCTGATTTTGGCCCAAAACTGCAAGGAAGACAGATGTGCTACCGGAAAACCACAATGAGAAGCATGCACTGGAAGCCAAGGACTGCAAGGATAAAAAAATATCCTGGATAGATTAGCCTACCAATATCAAATGATAATTGCACCCTCTTTCCCTAGCTGTATTACCCCACAGTTGTGAGTGATACATTTTGGTGATCATGACCAAAACTTAGTTCAAGCTGACACTTGCTTCATTTTTTTAACCCTTGATTTCTTACTCATTATTTTACTGTGATGAAATGGTAAAACTATCTCCATATCTTAACTTGTGTATTTCTCATGCTGGCAAGCTGGTAAAAAAATTTGACCTTTAGTCCTTTTTTAGGGGGGGTTACTGAAGCACTTGGTTTCCTAACTTTGCTTTATAATGCTTGTTTTTACCTTTGGTTTCCTCTCTCTCTCTCTCTCTCTTGCGCACGCACACTCTCACATCCTCCACCCTCCCCACCCATGTGCACATGCTTCCATTTCTACTTTTATGTGATTTCCCTCTCCTAGAATTATTTTCCAAAGAAGTTCTAAAGATGACAATGAAATCCTCTTTTGAAATTATTACTGCTGTCACTGTTTAGTAGCACAAAAAAAAAATTCTACAGGTTGTTGCCTTTTAGAAAAATGCAACCAAAATTTGAGCTTTCTTGCTTATTGCTGATTTGTATTCTCTGGTATCTTGTTGATCCCTAATCCAAAGTGTTTGTTGGGCTGCCTGTGGAATATTCTGCGATGATGAGTGCAACCACTCAAGAAGTCACTATCTGTCTCCTGCTTTTCCTAATGCTTGGGAGAAGGATAAATTATGTCAGGTGGACACCTGATATGGCACATGCTGCTGGACAGACAGGCATGGCTGTACCACCAGCTGCACTGAGGGGGCCAGGCAGAAACTCCACCAGCACCAGGGTAGGGGGACACAGCATCCCTATATACAGCATCCCTGTGTACAGCATCTCTACATACTGCCCTTGCACTGGGAGAAGAACAGCATGCTGGCACATAGGGAGTGTGGAGAAGCAGACATCTCCCATTCCCTTGTTCCTTTGAGAAAGCCTATGGAGGGAGGGACCCACTCTCTGGTTGCGGGAAAATAGCAGCTTGTTGGACCAAGTGCCTCGTGCAGAAGTGTGTTGCCCTCACTGTTACACTGTTGCAAAGCTAACACATATTTTCTGTGAGGGAGTGCAAAAGGAAGGGTGTGAGCTAGATTAAGTCGAATGTGTTTAAAAATCTAAATGAAAGTTTAGAGAAGTGCGTGAGTCCCTGAACTCAGTGACTCACACTTTCTTAAACTGCCTGCTGGAGTGCCGGCTATTGGGACTGTTAGAAATGTCTTTAGGGGAATGCAGAAATGAGTGTGTCTGTAATGATACGTGGATTTAAAAATACACCTGATTCCTGTGAGGTCCTCTATTTGAGTATTTCTAAACTGCAGATAACACAAGCTGCATGAGTGGTCTGCAGGAACGAGACTCCTTCGAGGCTCATCAGGAGTAACTCAGTCCCACATTTAGGAAAACCATCATCATGCATGGCTAGTTTCAGGGATTGCACTGTTTCCCTGGAGATGAGAAGTAACAATGGTCAGTGTGATTCTGATTTGGGAAGGTATTACCAGAAAACTAGCCTTTAAGGAGGGAAACAAGTTTCTGAAAAACTATCGCCATTGTGGAAATGTTCTATTTCTCATGACAGCTTCCACATTTTCTTTAAAATAACAGGAATACTTTATTGTGTTTCACTAAGTTTTACTTTGATTTTTTTAAGGACAAAGATGTGGTTTCTACCGCATCTGTGAGAACCTAATGCCCACCATTAAGGGCCAAAATGGTCCAAGTGCAGCCACTGACTGACTTGTCATTTCCATGATTATGTTGAGTTTCCAATGTGGCTCATTGGTGGTGCCTGTGAGAGCTGGTGGGGAGAGCAATGGCTGACAAAGAAATAATTGCCAAGGTGTTTTCAGAAAATTATGAGAGTTTTCAAGAAAATTATGAGAGATGCAAGCAGGAATTTGACATGAGAAAGGATGGGAAGGTTGGAGTTGGGAGCATTTGTGGCATTTAGGCAGGGCCTTTTTGTCATAGTTGGGTTTGGGAGCATTTTTTACCCCTTTATGGAAGGATAATGCAGTATGTGGTTGGATAGTAGTGAATGTAAGTGGCTTGAAAACAAAATAAGAAAGCCCTTGACCAAGACACTGTGGGTACAATTGCTTATCCAATCCAATGGAGATGGGTTTCACAAGGGCCCCCTCTTGTCTGAAACATCTTATTCTCCTTGTTAAAAGGCATTTAAAAACACAAAATACTTTTATTAAAAATGCTTTTCAGGGTTATATGACGCTAAAAGCACTTTCTATAGCTTGCATTGCTATTTAGGAGAGCATGTTATTTCTTTTTAATTTGCTCACTCATTCCTGAATAACTTTTCATAGGACTCCAGACACTGCAGTGTGACAGCTAAACCAAGGAGCATCGGATGCGATGGAATTGCTCTACAAGCAACCTTGCCAAAGGCCCTTTTGCTGCACAAAGCTGGCTCTATCTTTGTATATTGAGGGAGCTAAATCAATGTTAAATGCTTGGCTCTTTTCACAGGACAATGACCAGGACCTAAGCTGCGTCCTTCCTTTTTGATTGACACTTGAAACGTTGAGCTGGAATCAGCCAGAGGCACTGCTACAAGCTTGAAGCCTCTGCTGGGGATAACAACTGGTGACATCTGCAGAAAGGCCGACAAAAGGCAGTTGAAAGCCGTGTTTGTTGCTTTCCCCTCTCAGATCTCCTCTCTTTCATGGAGCTCCTTACTTGCTTTAATATTATGATTCAGCACCTGGCTCTTTTGAACCTTGCTTTAAACTTCAAAAGGCGAGGTGGTATTAACAAACATGAAACGAAAAAGTGGCAGTAGTTTGATTTACTGTTGTCGTCTTATCAAGGGGGTTTTTTGTCACCAGCTGCCACTTTCTGTCATCTTTGGAACCATTATCATTTCTCTAAAATCTAAAAGACTCCACTTAATAACAGCTTTGAATACAGGAAGGATCAGTAACCTATACAGTTCTGGGATGACAGAACCGTCAAATGAAAAGAAAGATGTTACAAAAAAAAAAAAATCCTTAAGAAAAAAAACAATAAAACAAATAAAAGCTCTAGTACTTCTAAGTGACCTTGATTTCAGAATTAAACAAATCAAGCACAATTCCATTGTTCTTTTTGGATTCATTCTGCACTTTCCTTGCAACATTTCTTTTTTGTTCTCAGGACTAAGCGAAAACAAAGCCAAGGCTTCCAGGACAACTGCTCAGTGCAGAACGAGTACTTGGTATCACATGAGCCCTGTAAGCTCCTCACTTGTAAAAGCGCCAGTGATAATTGCCAGTCTCGTTTCGCTGCTGTCCTAGTGCAGCAACTCTCATTCAGGCTGAGATGGAGCCTTGAAATCTGCCTTACTAGGGCAGCCTTACTGGTCACAAATCTACTTAACTCTCACTTTTATAGCACCTTTCTATGTTTCCTTGCCGTCTTTCCCAATAGTGCTATACTGTCCTTTGGCCATCAGTGCAGAATCTGAAATGCCTTTTCAGGCCAGTTTGCCCATCAAACCTTTCCAGGTTCAGTTAAAGGTAATCAAATAAATGAAAAAAATTTCTGACCAAAACCCTGCTGCACTTTCTTATTTGTCACTTCACTGTCCTCTACAGAAAACTCATCCTTATTCCTTTTGTTTGTTGATTTATAATGCTATCCACAATGGACCTACTTGGAAGGGGAAATTTCTCCTGGTGTCCTCTAAATTCCTGAACTATATCATAGGCACACCGCTACCAGTGGTGACATTTATTTCACATAGATTTGAACCTGCCCTTCTGCCCCTGTGCATTTTGGTAGTTATTTCCACCTATACAAAAAGAGTAAAATCACCAAAAGGATCCTCTCTCCTGTCCCCGATGAAGTGTTTTACTACCCATATACAACATGAGGAAATAGGGAAATGGCTGCTACAAAATGTTTTCCCCCAACATCTTAGCAGCTGGTCTCCCTGCCGCTGGCCATCGACCCCTTTCCAGGCCCTTCTCATCACACGAATCTGGGATGGTTTAATTTCAGCATCTCTTGGTAAAATGGAGATGAAAAAAACAAAGTGAAAATCCTCTGGAATGTGAAAATGCTGATGTTCTGACTGATTGAAAACCAGGATTGCCAGAATCCAAAGTTGATTATGGTGGTTTTTTTTTGGATTGGGATATGACAAAACTCATACAAAAGTGAGACGGGGGTTGCTAAAAATACCTATTATCTTCTGACAGAAGGCTCACTGTGTAATCACACTGAGGTTTTCTCACGGAGCATGTCCACATTTGAAATTTTAGTCATTTTAACAAGTGTTAATTACCACATGCTAACTAGCAGAAGTATGTGTGTGGGAGATGTTGTATATTTATTTGTTCCAGACTTGGAACATATTAGAATGTAGGCTTTATTCCAGTTTACTGTCCTATGAATGAA